GGTGCGGTAAAAAAGAAGGAATTCTTACTATTTGCAACAGCATGGATGGAACTGGAGAGCATTATGCTAAGTGAAATAAGTCAGTCAGAGGAAGATAAATATCACACAATCTCATTCATTTGTGGAATATAATGAACAACATAAACTGATGAACAAAAACACATCAAGAGACAGAGAAGCATCGATGAGATGCTCAAACCTCAGAGGGAAGGTAGGGGAGGGTGGGGGTAAGGGGGAGAGATCAACCAAAGGACTTGTATGCATGTATATAAGCCTAAACAATGGACACAGACACCAGGGGAGTGAGGGCATGAGTGGGGGTTGGGGGGAGGCAATGGGGGGATAAGGACACATATATAATACCTTAGTCAATAAAGAAAAAAATATTTAATATGTCCAGCCCATAGTTGATGCTCACTAAACTTAAAATATTTGGCAAAGCTGAGGTTGCAGAGAGACAGGCACAGGAGAAATTGGAGTCATCATCAACCTTGGTTCAGATGGGTATCCCTCTGTTTTTTCTCCACCTCTTTATTTATACTATACTAGAGGCCCAGTGCATGAAAATTCGTGCACTGGGAGTGGGGGGGGGGGTCCCTTAGCCCAGCCTGCACCCTCACAGTCCAGGAGCCCTCAGGGGATGTCCTATTGACGGCTTAGGCCCGCTTGACAGTCTGGCCTACCTTTTGCGGGAGGCGACCGGGCCGATCAGGGGAAGCCATTGCCCCCATCACCCTACTGCTGCTGCCACTGCAGGCCACGGTGGCTGCCTGCCCTCCTTGGCCCTTGCAGCCACTGCAGCTTTGTCCAGAAGGACGTCCATCCAGAAGGATGTCTGTAAGATGTCCAGTCTATCCGGTCTAATTAGCATATTACCCTTTTATTAGTATTGATAGAATGCTAATTCTTTCAGAAAACTATTTTTGAATCAGAACTTAGTTTTCTAGGTTAATAAAGAACATTTTATCTTGTATGACTTGAAATATTATGTGTTACTACATACTTTTCCATTAATTTTCCCAATGTTCTTACCTCTAAAGATGCTATACTCGAGTTCTGACACATGGACTCTATCTGACCAATCATTTTGCTCAGGCCCCTTACTTGCTGGATCAGCTTGATCTCATTGTCCCTCAGTTTCTTCAGGTTCTCTCTTTCCTCCTTTTCCAGCAGCTGCAGATGTAGCTGCTCCTCCTCTTTCAGGAACTGGTGCATTTTTACATATTCGGACACAACAACCTGTTTACAATTCTTTGTCTCTTCCTGCCATCACACACACACACACACACACACACACACATGACATAATAAGGTTAGTAACAGAATGTGTTTTTTCACCCTTACAAAGTCCTAGAGTTTCACTGTGATAATTATAGTATATAAATATATATATACTAGCTGGGTTGACTAAGTTGTATTTTAGTTGTGTGTAGATAGAATAGTAAAGAAACCCCAAATTTTATATTCCCAGAAGGTTGTCATTCTACTGGAAAAAAGCAAAAAAAAAAAACCCAAAATAAACAAAAAAATATATATGACAGGTGATGATCAGTCCCATTATAAAATATAAGGCAGTATAAAATAAGGACAACATTATTTTTTAAAATGTGTTCATTTATTCAACAAATATTTACTCAATCAAAGTAGTCATTGGCTCACATACTAGATATAGAAATGTACATCACAAATACTTCCATTTAAGAATTCAAAGTTTTGTCCTAACTGGTTTGGCTCATGGATAGAGCGTCGGCCTGCGGACTCAAGGGTCCCAGGTTCAATTCTGGTCAATGCAGCTGATCGATGTTTCTCTCTCATCAATGTTTCTAACTCTCTATCCTTCTCCCTTCCTCTCTGTAAAAACTCAATAAAATGTATTTTAAAAAAGAATTCAAAGTTTAGCAGGAGAATTAGATACACACATATTTTTAAAATATCTGAACATTTGGTTCTCTGCATTGCTGGACAGCTAAAATTAAAATCTGTGACTAACCTCGACAAACTAGCATCTGTGCAGGTGTACTAATCCTAACTAATATTTTGTCATATTTTCCCTTACTCTTTTGTTTTTAATTTGGAATTTTTTTTTTACCCAAAGCACTTGAAATGTCTTTATCGATTTCCATTTTATGATATCTATCTATCTATCAGTATACATTGTATTTTAGATAATTATAATAAGAGCTAAAATAGAGGTAGCTTCTGAGTTATAAAGGTGCATCAAGGGGTGAGGGAAGCTGGCCTGGGAAAGGGAAATTGAATTGAGTTTTGAGATGCCCAGGCAGACAAGCAAAGGTAGGTAGGCCAGAGCAGGGATACTGCATACTGTAGATGGGGACTGGGAAATGTTGTCTTCTTTCCCCTCTCATTTCACTAAGTGTCCCTTCAGAAATGCCCCCCTCACGGAATCATATACAAGATGCACAAACAGGACAGTCACTGACCTTACACAGTATCACTCTCTCCTTCTCATGGGTTAACATAACCTGAGTTTCCTTTTTCTTTTTACACAAAAGATTGAAGATTTCCTGGAGTTTCTCCTGCAATAGAAACAAACGCTCTGTGACAAATGAGCAGTGCACCAGGTCGT